GCAATAGTAATTTGGGGTTCCCAGGATTTGGAATAAGAATCTGATGTCCTCATTTCACCATGGCTGCATGTCAGGGTCTAAGGATAGACGGTGAGCAGGACCCAAGATGGTCTGGAGCATCCACGGGTTGGGGAGAAGAGTAACACCCAAACCCAACATCACCCAAACACTACACTGCCTTTATGTATTAAGATCTCTCATAACAGTGTCCTATACTTACTGTCCCCGAACTGTACTCTTACAAATGGTTAATTTTATATGAGGTATATTTTATTACAAAAAAAGAAAAAAAAACTTTAAAAAAGACTTGAGAAATGACCAAGGCTGTGGAGTCTTGTGAGACCCAGCCAGATGAAATGCCCAGTGGCCCCAGGCTGCCTTTCTTACTTGGTTATGGGAGGACTTCTGTGCCCGCCCTGTGTCTGGCTCTCTTATTCCTGAGAGTGGAGTGACTACCCTGTTTCTCCAGCTATAGACCTTAACCCTCTGTATGGACTGAATTGTGTGTGCCACTAACTCCACCCTCACCCCACCCCATTAATAGGTTGAAGCCCTAATCCCTGATATGATGATATTTGGAAATAGGGACTTTAGGAGGTAGTTATTTTTAGATGAGTTCAGGAGGGTGAGGCCCCCACACTGGGATTAGTGTCTTTATAAGAAGAGGAAGAGGGGCATCTGGCTGGCTCAGTCAGTTAAGTGTCTGCCTTCAGTTCAGGTCATGATCTCAGGGTCCTGGGATCGAGACCTGCATTGGGCTCCTGGCTTGGTGGAAGCCTGCTTCTCTCTCTCCTTCTGCCTGCCACTCCCCTGCTCATGTTCTCTCTCTGCCAAATAAATTAAGCTCTCTCTAAAAAAAGAAGAAGAAGAAAAAGAAGAAGAAGAAGAAGAAGAGGAAGAGACCAGAGAGCACTCTGTTTCTCTGCCATGTGAGGACACAGCAAGTAGGTGGCCATCTATAAGCCAGGAAGACAGCCCTCACCAAGAGCCTAACCTCCTGGCACCTTGATCTTGACTTGGATTCTCCAGAACAGTGAGAAATAAATGTCTGTGGTTCAAGCCATCTGGTCTGTGGTGTTTTGTTCTAACAGCCCAGGATGACCAAGGCACCCTCAGAGCCAAGGGGTGTTTGTCCCAGAGGGATGTCTGCAGACCTGAGGCCCCCACCTCTGACCCTCCACTGCTCAGATGGAAGGTTACCTATAGCACTGGTCAGTACTTCTTAGAGAACCTGCCCAAAAGTGCCAAGAAAATCTACTGGGCTGCTCCAAAGGCCCATAGGGAGAATCAGAGAGAAAACATTGCCACACACACTGACATGACCACCTTTTCTCTATATGAACTTTACAGCCTAGAGGAGGGAAGGGAACTAATGTGGCCTGGCATTCGTATGTGGATGTCGCTCTCTTTTTGGGGGTGATGAAAATGTTCTAAACTTGATTGTGGTGGTGCTTGCACAACCCTGTGAATATTTGAGTCCACCAAATTGTACACTTCATCTTGTTTCATTTATTTATTTATTTATTTATTTATTTATTTATTTATTTATTTAGTAATCTCTATGCCTGACCTGGGGCTCAAACTCACAACCCCAAGATCAAGAGTCACATGCTCTTCTGACTGAGCCAGCCAGGCACCCCAAATTATATACTCTGCATGGATGGGTTGTGTGGCGCATAAGTTGTATCTCAATAAAGCTATTTAAGTGTAACCAGTATTTTGGGGCAGCCTGGGTGGCTCAGTGGTTTAGCGCCGCCTTCGGCCCAGAGCATGATCCTGGAGACCGGGGACCGAGTCCCACATCGGGCTTCCTGCATAGAGCCTGCTTCTCCCTCTGCCTGTATTTCTGTCTCTCTGTCTCTGTCTATGTCTCTCTCTCCTCTCTGTCTCTCATGAATAAATAAATAAAATCTTTAAAAAAAAAAGTGCAACCAGTATTTCTATGCCAGTTAAGGGGAGAAATAAAGGGAATAATGGGATGGGAGCTAGGGAAGCCAAAGTTGCAGACAGATGTACCACAATCAGGGGTTCTTATGTGGAATTGAGGGGTAGCTAGGGGCATTTGGAAATGTGGGTGTTGGTTAACTCCATGACTTGGGAAGTGCCATTGGCATTGATGGGGTGAGAGCCAGAGAAGCTAAACGTCCTGTAATGCCTACATCAGTTCTGCCCACTAAGAGTTTTCCTATCTACTGGCACCCCCCTTTCCAATCCCCTCCTTCCAACCAAAAAACTCTGCTCAGGGGAGATTTTTTGGTGTTAACATTTATGTATTTTAATACTTTTCTACACAAGACTTTGAAAAGCTCCGTTGCATTTTTGCAACCATAGGAATAAATTTCACTTCAGCTTTTATGCCCACAGCTTTATGAGGTATAACTGACAAATAAAATGGTAAGATATTTAAAGTATACATCATGACAATTTTATATATATATAATATATAGTTCACCCTCCCATCTAGTTCATTAAAATATTCATCACTGGGGATGCCTGAGTGTCTCAGCAGTTGAGCACCTCCCTTCAGCCCAGGGCATGATCCTGGGGTCCCGGAATCGAGTCCCACATGGGGCTCCCTGCATGGAGACTGCTTCTCTCTCTGTCTGTGTCTCTGTCTCTGTCTCTCTCTGTCTCTCATGAAAAAATAAAATAAAATAAAATAAAATAAAATAAAATAAAATAAAATAAAATAAAAAGATATCCATCACCATATATAATGTTTGGTGAGAACATTTAAGTTTTACTTTCTTAGTGAATTTCAATTATAAGATATAGTACTATCAACTATAGTCACCTTATTTACCTTAGATTCCCAGACCTTATTTATCTTAGAGCTGAAAGTTTGTACCCCCCCTTTTTTTAAATTTTTATTTATTTATGATAGTCACACACAGAGAGAGAGAGAGGCAGAGACACAGGCAGAAGGAGAAGCAGGCTCCATGCACTGGGAGCCCGACACGGGATTCGATCCCAGGTCTCCAGGATCGCGCCCTGGGCCAAAGGCAGGCGCCAAACCGCTGCGCCACCCAGGGATCCCTGTACTCTTTTTTTTTTTACTAACCTCTCACTATTCCTGCCCCCTGCCAAGCCAGCCTCTGCCAACCACTTTTCTACTTTTCTGTTTAAGGTTTTTTTTGTTGTTGTTGTTGTTGTTTTTTTTTTTTTTTAGATTCCATACACAAGTGATGACACACAGTGTTTGTCTTTGTCTGTCTGGTTTATTTCACTCAGCATAATGCTCTCAAGCTACATCCATGTTTCACAAGCGGCAGGATTTCCTTCTTTCCATTGTATGTATGTATATGTACCTCACATCTTCTTTATCCATCCATCCGCTGATGGACATGTAGATTGCTTTCATTTCTTGGCAATTGTGAATAATACTGCAATGAGCACAGGGGTGTAGATATCTCTTCAATATCCTGTTTTCATTTCCTTTGGGTGTATACCCAGCAGTGGGAGTGCTGGATCATATGGTGGTTCTATTTTAGTCTTTTGAGGAATTTCCATACTGTTTTTCTTAGTGGCTGCACTAATTTACATTCCCACAAACAGAGCAGGAAGATTCCCTTTTACCCACATCCTTGCTAAGGCTTGTTGCTCTTATCTCTTGTGTTTTGGATGGCTGCCATTCTAATAGGTGTGAGGTGAGATCTCATTGTGGCTTTGGTTTGCATTTTTTTTTTTTAAGTTTTTTTATTTAAGTCATCTCTATACCCAGCATGGGGCTCAAACTCATGACATTGAGATCTAGAGTCGCATGCTCTTCCTACCCAGCCAGCCAGGTGCCCTGGTTTGCATTTCTTTGATGATGAGTATTGTTGAGCACCTTTTCATGTACCTGTTGGCCACTTGTCTGTCTCCTTTGGAAAAATGTCTCTGCAGTTTTTTCTGTCCAGGTTTAAATTGGGTTTGTTTGCTCATTGAGTTCTATGGGTTCTTTGTAGCCTTGGGATATTAACAACCTCTTATCAGATGCATGATTTGCAAATTTTTTTTCCCATTCCAAAGGTGGCCTTTTCATTTTACTGATGGTTTCCTTTGCTATGCAGAACATTTTTAGCATGATGGAGTCTATTTTTGCTTTCCTTGCCTTAGCTTTTGGTACCCTACATCCGCTTTTGATTCTTACTCTGGATCAAACTAAGTAAGCCAAGAGCTGGTCTGTTCCTCAGCCCAGAGGTCCTCACTTCTCTGGGATCTGTTGCCTTTGGTTTCTTCTGTGGGAGCTTACCCAGGTTTTGCTATTTGTTTAGAGGTTATTTTTAGCTGGCTAGACGTTTGGAGGTAAATCTTTTGGGTACTTGCATGGCATTATATTTTTTTAAATGATCATGACTATTTTAAACTGAGTGAGTATAAGTTTGAAGGCAGAAACATTTCCTTTTTAAGGCGCCGTTTCTCTAGCAGTTAGGAAAACTAATCCAAAAGATTAGCAAAAATAGCCTCTTGTTAAATAGCTTGAATCTGGGGGAAATGCTGGCATTTCTTCTGTTCAATGAACCCTTCTGGGGTGAGAGAAAGAAGAAAGGCCGAGGATTGCTGTGAATCTCTGTAGGTAGTGAAGTCCTTCCTGGAACCAAGATTTCTTTTGTTTATTTTATTTTAATTAATTAATTAATTAATTAATTTATTTATTTATTTATTTATTTATTTATTTATTTATGATAGTCACAGAGAGAGAGAGAGAGAGGCAGAGACACAGGCAGAGGGAGAAGCAGGCTCCATGCACCGGGAGCCCGATGTGGGATTCGATCCCGGGTCTCCAGGATCGCGCCCTGGGCCAAAGGCAGGCGCCAAACTGCTGCACCACCCAGGGATCCCCGATTTCTTTTGTTTAAAACCAGGAAGCTTACTGTCTGTCATCAGTGATAAACAATACATACCTGACCCAAAAATATGGCACCAAAAATTTAAGTTAAAGCAATAGTCTACTGAGGAGAAAAGCCCTTTCCTTTCGATCTGGGGGCAATTATCAGCTCACAGGTAAGCCAGGATAGGTGCTTACAGGTATACCAAGGAGCTATGGAGGAAGAACAAGTCCAATGGAATGCACTTTTTTCTTTGGATGCACGGCTGGCAGTACCAGCTCTCTGGCAGTACCAGCTCTCTGCACTCCATGGGATGCCCCAAGAAACCTGGCCTGAAAAAGCATGCAGACTGAGGTACAAGACCAAGCAAGGTTATGTCATATACTGGATCCGTGTGCCACATAGTGGCCGCAAACACCCACTGCCTAAGGCTGCAGCAAGACTGTCCATCATGGTGTCAACCAGTTCAAGTTTGCCCAAAGCCTACAGTCTATAGCAGAGGAATGAGCTGGACACTACTGTGGCCACTGTGGCTCTTATGGTCTTGAATTCTTACTAGGTTGGCAGAGATTCCACATACACATTCTTTGAGGTTATCCTCATTGATCCATTCTATAAAGCTATCAGAAGAAATCCTGACCCCCAGTGGATCACCAAACCAGTTCATGAGCACAGGGAGACCTGAGGGCTGATATCTGCAAGCCGTGAGAATGTGGCCTTGGAAAGCATCCCTAGTTCTGGCACACCATTGGTGGTTCTAGCAGGGGGGCATGGAGAAGGAAGGATCCTCTCCTGCTCCACCTTGCCACTAATATAATTAATGTTTGTGAAATTCTTACCTAATAAACAATTTAGGACAGTCATGTCTGTTAAAAGTGTTCTTTAATTTGTCTGCTAAAATGAGTTGCCTGCAGATTGTCCCATAAATGCACTGTCAAATGATGGAAATTGAACTGCTATAATGTTGGAAGACTGTAAGGGTAGGTAGGGTGCCTGGCTCAGTCAGAAGGGCAACATGACTATCAATCTTGGGGTTGTGAGTTTGAGCTCCACGTTGGGTATAGAAATTACTTAAAAAAATAAAAATCTTAAAAAAAAAAGACAAAATGCTGTTTGGTACAATAGGTGTAAAATAAATTCTATAAAAGTGAAATGTAGAAGCTAGCCCTGTAGGGCCCCTGGGTGGCTCAGTGGTTGAGTGTCTGTCTTTGGCTCAGGTCGTGATCCTAGGTCCTGGGATTGAGTCCTGCATCGCATCAGGCTCCCTGCAGGGAACCTACTTTTCCCCTCTGCCTATGTCTCTGCCTCTATCTCTGTGTCTCTCATGAATAAATAAATAAAATCTTAAAAAAAAAAAGCTAGCTATGTAGATTTGTTGGTGCATGAGTTGGAACCTGTAGCTTCACTAGGGTGATGTAATGCATAAAGCTCTGCTGCTTTACTCTCAAACGGCTGTTTTTAGGGGTTTGATAAGAACAAGCGTATTGCTTCGGATTTTGCTTGGAAATGTGAAGAATATCCTAATCTTTTATCATGATCATATGCAGAATAGTAAAGTTAACAAGGTAGGGGCACATTTTTAGGTTGAATCCAATATTCCATTTATGGAACTGCTGCTTCTGAAAGAATAGTTTAAAAGAATGCCACCATTTTTAGGAGAATTGAATAAATCTGTTGCTAGATGGTTCTCTTACAAATGAAAATAAATCCTGTTTGGGGATCCCTGGGTGGCTCAGCGGTTTAGCACCTGCCTTCAGCCCAGGACGTGATCCTGGAGTCCCGAGATCAAGTTCTGCATGAGGCTCCTGCATGGAGCCTGCTTCTCCCTCTGCCTGTGTCTCTGCCTCTCTCTCTCTCTCTCTCTCTCTCTCTGGGTCTCTCATGAATAAATAAATAAAATCTTAAAAAAAAAAAAAAAGAAATCCTGTTTAACCTAAGCTAGAAAGAACCTAAGAAAGAAAGGAAGGAAGGAAAGAAGGAAGGAAGGAAGGGAGAAAGAAAGTCTGTTAACATCTTTGGGTCAACTCTGTGGGTACCTGGTTTATTTTGGTGGATTTAATTTGTTTCTGCATGTTTGGGAATCAATAGGTCCTGAGGCTCTCCTCATAGCTTTAGGGGTACGGATCTCAGCCTCCCTGAACCCTGGCAGCCACTGACAGGCCCAGAAGCAGGCTTGTCTTCAAAGGTTGTATTTCCATTTGGGAAGTGTTTGAAGTTGTTTAACTTAAAACAGCCTTGAGGGGGACGCCTGGGTGGCTCAGCAGTTAACTGTCTGCCTTCAGCCCAGGGCGTGATCCTGGGATCGAGTCCCACGTCGGGCTCCCTGCATGGAGCCTGCTTTTCCCTCTGCCTGTGTCTCTGCCTCTCTCTGTGTGTGTCTCTAATGAATAAATAAATAAAATCTAAAAAAAAAAAAAAACAGCCTTGAAAAAAAATTATGCCAAGTGAAATAAGCCAGACACAAAGGATAAATATTGTATGATTCTAATTCTGTAAGGGACCTAGAGTAGCCAAAGCTATAGAGACAGAGAGTAGAAGGGTGGGTGCCAGGGGCTGGGGGAAGGGATGGGGTCAGTGTTGGATGGGGACAGAGTTTCAGGTTGAGAAGATGGAAAAGTTCTGGAGATGGGTGGTGATGATGGTTGCACACCAATGTGAATATGCTTCATGCCCTTGAACTAGACACTTAAAACTGGTTAAAATGATAAATTGTGTGTTTTCTATATTCTGTAACACACACACGCACCATTAGGCAGTAGAAAGCTCCATGGGCAGGGGGCTCAGTAGAAAGATTTGGGAGTCATTCAGACCAGGGTTTGAATCCCACCTCCACCATATACCGCTGCTGTGTGACCCTGGGAAGGCATGTAAACTCTGATCCTCAGCTACCTTCTTTTTCATTTTTTTTAAAGATCTTGTTTATTTTGTTTTATTTATTTATTTTAAAGATTGATGTATTGACTCATGAGACACACAGAAAGAGAGAGAGGCAGAGACATAGGCAGGGGCAGACAGGCTCCCCCAGAGAGCCCAATGTGGGACTCGATCACAGGACCCTGGGATCACGACCTGAGCCAAAGGCAAATGCCCAACTGCTGAGCCACTCAGGCGTCCCAAGATTTTGTTTATTTTAGAGGGAGAGAGAGATCCCTGGGTGGCGCAGCGGTTTAGTGCCTGCCTTTGGCCCAGGGCGCGATCCTGGAGACCCGGGATCGAATCCCATGTCGGGCTCCCGGTGCATGGAGCCTGCTTCTCCCTCTGCCTATGTCTCTGCCTCTCTCTCTCTCTCTCTCTCTCTCTCTCTCTCTCTGACTATCATAAATAAATAAAAATTAAAAAAAAATAAAAAAATGGAGAGAAAGGGAAAGAGCATGCATGAACAGGGAGAGGGGCAGAGGGAGAAGGAGAAAATCCCAAGCCGACTCCACACTGAGTGTGGAGCCCAATGTGGGGCTCAGATTTCATGACCCTGAGATCATGACCTGAGCTGAAACTAAGAGTTGGACATTCAACCAATGAGCCACCCAGGCACCCCTACTTTATTTATAAAAGGTGTTAATAATGTCTATGTTGTTAAGGGTATTATGGAGGATCTTATGTACTAAAGCATGCAAAGTACTTTGTCCTGTGCTTGCACACAGCTGACACCCAACAAATGATAGTTACAATTGGGAATAGAGTCATTGTGTACTTGAGAGCTTAAATTCATTGAAATACTACTCAGTAACAGTTTAAAAGAATAACTGGGTCTAGTAACGTTGACATTCCTTTTGTTTTAAACTTTCTAGCTAGCAGTATGGTTAAAATTAAGATTAAAAACTGGGGTACCTGGCTGGCTCAATCAGTGGTGCATGTGGCTCTTGATCTCTGGGTCTTGAGTTCAAGCCCTGTGTTGGGTATAGAGCTTACTTAAAAAAACAACTAATTTTTGGCCTCATAGTTGCTAATTCTTTTTTTTTTCATAGTTGCTAATTCTAAGTGCAGATATGTCCTAAATATTGTATATGTACCATGGAGGCACCAGGGAGGGTTATTTGATGGCTAAGGTTCAAATCTGGTTATTGGCAAGATCATCAGCATTGGTGGTTAAAGAGAACATTCCATGAGGAAAAATATGTGCAACAAGTACATTCTGTAGAGAAAGATTTAAAAGTGAAAATAAAAAGCTTATGTAGCTTTTTGATATCTGAGTGCCTACTGGGGTAAGTGTGTAGGCACTTCTCACATTAGGCTGCCTAGGTAGGTGGCCTAGCTCCATCCCTGCCGAGCTATGGAGCTAGGCAGGTGGCCTAGCTCCATCCCTGCCGAGCTATGGACAATTGTGGTTTCAAGACTGGGGACAACTCACAAATGGGTTTAAAGAAGGTTCACTGAATTTATTTGGACAGTAACTTTGAGGTGTGCTGGGAGACCTGAAAACTACTTAACATGGCACTTGTGGGTTTTTTAAAAATATCTTTTCTTTATTCATTTGAGAGACAGAGACAGTGAGGATGAGCAGGGAGAGGGGCAGAGGGAAAGGAAGAGAGAGACTCTGCTGAGCTGGAAGCCCGGTGCAGGACTCGATCCCAGGACCCTGAGATCATGACCTGAGCTGCAGGCAGATGCTTAACCAGCTGAGCCACCCAGGCACTCTCTTTGGCTAAGTTATTAAATATCCATGCTCTGCCTGCTAGATTTTGGGTCCCTCTGCTTTCCTGATTTGACCAGCTACCTTAGCAAACAGAATTCAACTTTTTTTTTTAAGATTTTATTTATTTATTTGTGAAAAACACAGAGAGAGGCAGAGGGAGAAGCAGGCTTCCTCCTGGGAACCCAATGTGAGACTCGATCCCCGGACCCCAGGATCACAACCTGAGCCAAAGGCAGATGCTGAACCACTGAGCCACCCAGGCACCTCCAGAATTCAACTTTTTTTTAAAGATTTTATTTATTAAAAAAAAAGATTTTATTTATTTATTCATGAGAGACACAGAGAGAGAGAGAAAGAGAGAGATTGAGAGGGGCAGACATAGGCAGAGGGAGAAGCAGGCTCCATGCAGGGAGCCCGAAGTGGGACTCAATCTCCGGTCTCTAGGATCAGGTCCTGGGCTGAAGGCGGTGCTAAACTGCTGAGCCACCCAGGCTGCCCCAGAATTCAATTTTTAATAAATTATCAGTTCAGTCAATCTATTACTATTTCCATTTTGCATTTCAAATAAAACTAGAAGGTGAAAGACATTAATTTATACTGAGCTTTAATGTCAAGGCTAAAGGCATGTGTGTGGTTTTTTTTTTTTTTTTTTTTGGTTAAAGGCATGTGTTTAATTTCAGTTTGGAGGGATTGAGACATGAGCATATGCCTCCCTTAAACAAAAAAAACTTTTTTTCTCTTGTCCACAAAGCATCTTCTTTTTTTAAAATGGGTTTTTCTTCTTCTTCTTCTTCTTTTTTTTTTAAGACTTTGTTATTTATTCATAAGAGACACAGAGACAGAAGCAGAGACACAGGCAGAGGGAGAAGCAGGTTCCCCTCTGAGAGTCCGATGTGGGACTGATCTTAGGACCCCAGGATCGTGACCGGAGCCAAAGGCAGAGTCTCAACCATTGAGCCACCCAGGTGCCCCTACATAGCATCTTTTCAACTGATTGTGATACTCAGATGAATTTGCTTACCAAAGTATATTTCCATACATCATTATTTAAAATATTTTTAAAAAGATTTTATTCATTTATTCATGAGAGACACAGAGAGAGAGAGAGAGGCAGAGACATAGGCAGAGGGAGAAGCAGGCCCCATGCAGGGAGCCTGACTGGGTACTCCGGGATCACGCCCTGGGCTGAAGGCAGTTGCCCAACCGCTGA